TAGACTAATTTTAAGCATTACTACAAGTTATGTTCAGCTTTATGGATAAAACTATTCTTTCTCAAAAGTGACTAAAATTGTTCAAAATTTTTAAAGTTGGTCCTGAAACAATTTTTAATGGTATTTAGCCCTGTAAACAAAACTATTATTCAAAGTCATCAATACCCATCGGAGATGGGGTTAAGTCTTTGATAGTTTTGACTTCATTCATTTAGCTTAACTGGATAAAGCACAGGAATGGATTTGAATATTAATATAAAACTTTAGTTCAGCTTCATGATAGGGAGGTATATTTAGGAATATTAAGCTATAAAGAAGAAAAAGTAAATAAAAAATGTTTTAATTAAATATGTTATTATTAATATTTTTAGTACTAACGATACCATTTGCTTCTCTTTATTTATCAACAATCTTAATACACGGATTTGCTCTTTTATTATTTCTATTCAGTAATTTATTACATGATACATCTTTATTAATAGAAATATTGCGCAGCCGGAGGGTTATTTCAAACATCTTCATTATATCAATATAATGACATTTCATTTAATCTATCTTATGATATGCTTTTATCTATTTTTGTTCCTGTTATGATTTATCAATTTTACATTACACTCATTCTGCATTTAGTTTATCAATTCTTGTGCCGGGCTCCGGCAACCCCTGCAAGCTTGCAGAGGGCCGGGGCTCATATAGATATCTCGAAATTATCTTTAGAAGAAGCACGTAAAATGATTCTTGAAAGAGAACAATTTTTTATTGATTGTGTTTTACCTGAATACAATATACTTAAAACAGCGGGTGAAAATAATCCTTTTTATGGTAGAACTCATACAGCTGAGACTAAAGCTTTATTGAGTATTCCTAGATCAGAGAATACTAAAGCTTTAATGAGTCTTATGAGAAAAGGAGTAGCAAAAACAGAGGAACATAAAGCAAAAATTTCGAAATCCATGAATAAAGAAGTATTTGTATATTCAAGTTCTACTCCGACAATTTTTGAGCGTAAATTTGTATCTTACTCAGAAGCAGCGAAACATTTTAATTGTAGCATTATGACAATTTCTAGATATATTAAAAGTGCAGACGGAAATTATTTCAAAAACAATGGATTTTATCTTCATTTGAGAAATAAGCGACTCAAATAATAGTAGGGGCTAATATACTATTATCAATAATAATTAGTTTAGAAATTGCTAAACTTCCCCTTGGCCCTACGCAGCCGAGAGGACAGAGTGCTTAATGTTAATCTTTAGTTTTACTATAAATAATGTTCAGGGCTCTATTGAATAAAAAAATAATAAACACTTGTAACTTAATTGGAAAAGTATAGGCCTTCTAAGCGTAATAATAATGGTTCAAATCCATTCGAGTGTTTTACTATAATGGTTCTCCTGTGCTTTATTTTGTTCTTCTAAAACTGCTAATAAAGGGGGTTCTTCAAAATCCTTTAATGAATAATTATATTATAAGGGGTTGTACTAAAATAGCACATACCTTATTAATTTGTACTATACAATCTAGAAATAGAAGAGTGTGAACAATTAAAATATTTATCCGAGGCAAAAGCAAATTCATGCTCAAGAATTGGTGCCGAGTAGAACTAGAATATTCAAATACCGGAGGTCCGGCGTTTATCGATTACTTATTTTTATATCATTTGGGAAGCGCGAAAAATATATTAATATAAAACTTAGGTTCAGCTTCATGATAGGGAGGTATATTTAGGAATAGACGGCTATAAAGAAAGCGCAAAAAAATATATATTTTTTTATTAGCAAAACTGAGTAGCAAAAACTCTAATCATAAACAAGTTTAAATAAACTATAGACTGGGCTACGCCCATCTTTTTTATAAAAATATTTAATACTATTTTTATCCCCGTCCCATTTTTATTTATTATAAAATAAAGTAATATATTAAATTATCTAAAATTATATTTTCTATATTATTTAAGTCTTTTAATATTACAATACATTAAATATAATACTAATATATTAATAAAAGATAATTTTTTAAATTTGCCCTGAGGTTGAATCGAACAACCGTCAAAGGTTTTTCAAACCTCTACTTTCGCCACAGGAAACAATAATTATTAAATTAAAGATTATCGGGGGGCCCACCGGGTGTTAATTTATAAATTTCACAATTATAAAGAATAGTTCCCTTCTATCCTTCCTTTTAGGAATTAACTTTTTGATCTATACTATATAAAAACTTTTATTTAATATAAATCTTATTTAGAAATTATGCTAAAAAATCCATCTATTGTGTAAAAAGCTAGACTTTTTCGATTTAACATTCCTTTTAATACTATAAAAACAAAAAACCATCCGTAAATAATAGACAATTTCAAATGTTACTCATATTTATTTTTTATAAAACCCAAAATAATAGTTAATCATTCTCTGAAGATTCTTTGCTTGAACTTGCTAAAAAATCTTTAGAATAAGATAGATACCATTTGTCTTTGAATAATTCGCCATTTTTAGCATATTTTATAATAGTAGGATGTGAACTTTTATAATGTTCAGCCGCTTTATTTGCTGAACTAAAAGTATTAACTAGTGAGCCTTCAGAATCATAAATATAAATAGTTGTTCCTTTAGAAGCACTTATTTTATCTAAAGTAGAAACAGAATGAGTTTTACCTAACATCCCACGTGGATTACTCTCACCTTTATTGGCTTCACTCATTAAAACTTTAGTCTCAGTAGAATGAGATTTACCAAACATTCCACGTGGATGATTTAGTCCAATTCGGCGAAACATATAATTATTTTCACCAGACATTTTAGCTAATGATTCTTCTGTATGTTTAAATCCAAGTAAAGAACCAGCTATCTTATTAATATTAAATGTATTTGATTCATCTTCTGAAAAAATCAAGTCTAGATAATATTGCTCACGCTCAAGAATTAATTTTCGAGCATCTTCTTTAGATAAATTAGAGATTTCAATAAACTCTAAAATAGATAAATTAAAAGCTGAATGAGTGTGACAAATAATAGCACAACAAATATAATTTTTTGCTCGTTTTAAATAATTAATAGAATAATAATCTTTTAACCGTTTCGATAAATCAAAAGCACTTCCAATCAAGATCAAGTTAAACCAGGGGATCATATAAAGTATGGTTTTTAGTTCCATTAAGCATTTAATCAATCAATGGTTTATTTATCCTTAACGGATGTAGATAATATCCACTCATCTTTAAATAATTCCCCATTTTTGGCATATTTTAATATTGTATTAAACGTACAACCAAAATGTTTTCCAGCCTTTCTAGCTGAAGAAAAAGTATCCCTTAGTGAGCCTTTAGTATCATAAACATAAATTGTACCACCTTTAGCAAGACTCATTTTTGCTATAGTGTTTGCTGAAAGAGTTTTACCGAACATAGGATTATTTTCACCTGAGAGAGCTTCACTAATTTTAGCAATAGCCTCTGCTGAATGAGATTTTCCAAACATATGATTATTTTCACCAGATCTTTTCGCTAATGATTCTTCATCATGTTTAAAACCTAGCAAAGAACCAGCTTTCTTTAGTATATTATAAGTATTTGGTTCATCTTCTGAAAAAATCAAATCAAGGTAATGCTGCTCACGTGAAAGTATTAATTCACGTGCATCTTCTTTAAATTTATTAGAAATATCAATATATTCTATAATAGCTAAAGAGAATGCTTCAAGACCGTGATCAAGTATTGCATTGTTGATATACATAGATTTAAATCGTTCTAAAAATTTTGGTGAGAAATATAAAGATAATCGTTTAGATAAATCAACTGCAGAACCGAGATAAGTTTTACCTGATTCCTTATGAGTCCATTGGTATATTCCTGTTTTGCCTCTATTGTCGGATAAAATTTGTGATTTATTGATATCCGCATTATTGTATATTATAACCGGTACGAAAGATCCATTGTTGTTATTGTTTGTTTCCATTTTTTGTTTTTCCTTTTAGTATTGGTAAATTGATATATTAAATCAATAACCAAAATTTATAAATCCTAGCCTTTATAGTTATTCTTTGCCTTTGCTTCCAGTATATTGGCTTCGCAATTAAGAGATATAAATTCCCACATAAAATTAATGTAATTCGGAGTTCGCCCACTCTTTATAGAGATTTTGTGAAAAAATATGATCCCTTGCACAGAATTATAATATTAGGTCTTATACATTGGTATCGGTATGATTTTTCTTAAAGATAGTCAATATTAATAAATTTACTTTGGTATTGTTACAAACTTTAAGGTTTATTGCAATAAAAGATCCATTAATAGTAAATTGCTTATTAATACCCGGTCTAATGTTAAAATTATAAGATTTATAGAAGAAATATATTCTATATACAATTAAGTATATATTGCGAAATGCAGAGATTCGAACTCTGATAAGATAAAATAAAAAGCTTATCTACTTTACCTACTTAAGTTACATTCCGTTGGGTGTAGAATAATTCTTTTAATAGACTTGAACTTTATAAATTTTACCTGTTGAAATATGCATCCATTTGTATATTCCTGCTTTCCCTTTATTATCTTTTAAGATAAGTGATTTATTGATGTCAGGATTTGCATATATCATAACTGGAACAAATACACTCCATAATAATAAGTCTTCCGTAGAAATTAAATTAAAATCATATTCACTGAATAATAAGGAATCATAGAAAAATAAACAAGTAATAAAAGACCCAGCTAATTCTAATAGAATTAACCTCGAGAATGCTGTACCAATCATTCCTGAAAATAATGTAAAAGTAAATATAGAGATTCCTCTATTTTTAGTATGTGTTGAGAAAAGCCATTGTAACATATTTTTTTTAGTCGTTGGAAAATCCTTTATTTATTAAATATTTTAGTTAGTTTTTAAAGAGATCATTTAAACAGACTCGAAGTGCTAGACTTGAACAATTAAAGTTTTAATTGCCTTAATCTAAATGATCCAAATAAGATTGAATATATAATTACTGTTATTTATAATTAAAATTATTGCCCTGAGGTTGAATCGAACAACCGTCAAAAGTTTTTCAAACTTGCACTTTGCCACTAAGCTATCCGGGCGCTACTAGACTTGAACCGTATTACAAAAATTGTTTTGTACAAAAGATAAACTATTTCAGATAACATATTAATACTGTTATTATATTTAACAATTTATCGAGTGGTATGAGGGCACCCCCAGTTTATTAAGAGTTTCTTAATAAAATTTGGAAGAATTTTTAATGGTATATTCGCCCCTACACACATAGCAATTGAAAAACTATTTAGCAGATAAAGATAAAAACCATTGTTCTTGAAATAATTCCCCAGTTATAGCATATTTTGTAATAGTCGGATGAGAAGATTTAAAATGTAAAGCAGCTTCTCTAGCTGAAGAAAAAGTATTTATAAGTATATCATCTTTTGAATATACAATTAAAAATTGCGGTTCCTTGAGTAGCACTAATTTTAGCACGAGTTTCTTCAGAGAGTGATTTTTGGTGGCCAATTACCCACCCCAAAATGATTTTTTCCAGTCATGGCTTTACTAATTAAAGCCTTAGTTCCTAGTGGTATGGGTAAAAGTTTTACCATACATCGGATGATTTTTATCAGACAAGGCTTCACTGATTTTTGCTCGAGTTTCAACTGAATGAGATTTACCATAAGAAGGAGACGACTGATTTTCACCGGTTCTACCAAACATAGGGTGATTTTCACCTATTTTGGCAATACTAAATTTTACTAAAGTTTCCTCTCCATTGTATGAATACAATGGGGTATGTTTAAATCCAAGAGTAGAACCTCTGGAAGCAATTTTTATTATATTGAGGAGTTAATTTATCAAGATAGTATTGTTCACGTTCAATTAAATTTTGAGGGTCACAATTTTCTAAAATATAAAGAGAAAATTTTTCATGTTTATTTTTTAAAAGAGCTTTATGTATTATATCATTAACTGCTTTTAAATATTTTTCACTAAAATATTGGAAGCGCAGAAAATCTTCTTGATAAGTTTTTCGCTGAGCCTATATAATACTTATCATTAGTAGTATTAAGCCATAAATATATCCCCGATTTCCCATTATTCTCTGAATATATTGTGTTTTTAGATTCTGCACTATTTAAGTAAACTTTTGCAGGTTTATTATTTAAAAGCCATGTTTTAAAATTTATATCTAAATTATTATCTTTTTCATTATCTTTTTCATTATTACTCTGATTGTTCTCATTCCTTAATGAAGAAGATTTGTGAAAATTCCTAATTTGATTTGATCTAAAAGAATTGTTTAAAGTATTAACTTTATAAGAAATGTGGGGGGTGTTAAGTGATTTAGTGTTAATTGTTCCTAAATCAAATAACGTGTTTTCTATTGCTCCTACTACTGGTAAGATTACTAAGAAGTAAGAAAAATAGAAGATAGTTGAAACTTGACCTATTTCAACTAATGGAGATTCTGGATGGTTCGCACCAATCCAGCCAAGCATAAAGAAGTTAGCTACAAATAACCAGAAAAAGAATTTCATGATTGGTCTAAATTGCATTGATCTTATTCTAGATGTATCTAGGAAAGGCGCTGCAAGTAAGATTAAAATAGCTCCCACCATTCCCACAACTCCAAGTAATTTGTGAGGAATAGATCTTAAAATCGCGTAAAATGGTAAAAGGTAAAATTCGGGTACAATAGAGATTGGAGTAACCAAAGGATTCGCAGGTATATAATTATCCAGATTATTATCGATAAAATGTTTAAATTTATCCTCCCAATATCGCTATTGGGCTTAGACTATGTCATCAACCAGTTTAATAACTAATTGGTTGTAGGGTAATCGTGTCCGGATTATTGCTAGTGTGGCTCACCGATTAGTCGTTGAACGTTCGTATAACTATTAAAACACTGATATACGCTTCGCTGCAAATTGAGTTTATCTAATAAACTTGTTCTTGCAATTTAGTCGGGGAATTCCCCCTATTTTCATTAAAACATTACTGTCTTAAGGAGCTTAGATAAACTCTCTCCAAAAAAATTTGGATTAAAGAATACAAAATATGCAAATATTAAGAAGAAAACGAAAACACCTACTAAATCTTTAAAGCTATAGTATGGATGAAATCTAATTCTATCAGCATTTGAAGTAATTCCAAGTGGGTTGTTAGCAAATAATATTTAATTTTTGTTAGGCTCCCGAGGGCAGCCCCAACGTAGGTTCTTCTTATTTTAAAATAATTTAACCCCTCCATTGTATGAATACAATGGGGAAGAAACCTAAAATTTAAATAAATTATTCCGACTGTACATTAAGCAAAGTGTTCTACTTCACCCACTAGTGACCCAGTCTGTAGCGATTTGCCCTCAGCCTCCCGGCTGAGTTATACCGACGGTCTTCTGCTAAATAGCCATTAACCGTTTTCACTAGTATTGCCTAATAAATCTTATCGATAAGATTTAAAAAAAACCATTGTCATAGTTTTAAAAGGATTATTCCTTTACGACTATTTATTATAATAAATTAGGTTTATAATTTATAAAGCATTGATTCGTGGAAATAAGGCAAAGTCAATTTTCTAACTAAATCCATAGATTCCTTATTTATATAGATTTGGTATTGATTAACTTTAGAAATAGTATGATAGGTGCATTTAATATTAAATTTACTTTTTAAAACAGATATTAATAATTCAACCTCTTGTTGAGTAAAACAATTTGTAGCTATTTTTATCCCAGGTTTTTTATAAGTCCCGTCATCCTGAATCCAAATAGCTAAAGATAATGGAGTTAATAAATCATATATATTTTTAGGAAGAACTTTTCTTTTATTATTATAAAATGACTTATATAACCATAATAAACTTGAAAAACTGAAAGTACTAAAATAATAACCTTCGAATACTTTATTATTAAGTTTTTGTTTTACTAAACTTGGAGGGTTATTATTAGTATAACCTCTTTTTAACAAGAAATCGTGTAAATATAATAAATATTCTTTATGAACTACACTTTGTTTAAATCTGAATCTAACACCACCATTCATATTTCTTTCCGCTGTACAATCTCCTAATAATGAACCTACAAGTAATGATATTATTTCTTCATTATGAGGACCTATTCTATTTATAGCTCTAACATTAGGTTTGAGAAAGGCTAATGACAAAGTTTTTAGTCCACGTCTTTGATCCTTATTGATTTTATGTTTATAATTTTTATAAATAAATTTTGGTCCTAAGTTAGAACCATGCTCGTGTAGCATATTTATGTTATTGATCTAAACTAGGGCCTAGTTTATACAACATGTCAGGGTGCATATAATCTTTAACCAGGGATCTAACGAGAGGTAATTGGGCTTTTGTAATATATAAAGTATATTGAGATCTATCTTTATACTGAATATTTCTTGAAGCTTTAATAGAGAAATTTTTCTCTAATGCATTTATTAATAAATCTAAATCCTTAGAATTAAATGAATTTGTAGAAATTCTTAATCCACTACCTGTAAAACTTCCCTCATCCATTATCCAATAAGCTAAACTTACTGGGGTTAAGAGATCAGCAATATTATCTGGAACTCTTTTTATTTTGTTTTCATAAAAAGATTCATATAATTGATTAAAACAAGGAAGAGCTAAAGTAGAGAAACTAAGATTGTGTCTAGTTCTACCTGTTTTTGTATCTAAAATATTAGTTACAGTAGGCGGACTAGCTACAAATCTTTGAAATAATTCATATAAATGTAATAAATATATAGAAATTTCTTATACCACCCTAGTAAAATTTCCATGTTAACAAACTAGTGCCCATTTAAACCATATTTTCTTAAATTGGTATACTTGGAGAAACTATTAATTCCAATTATTCTTATTTCTCACTATCTAAAAAATCCATACTAGAACATGTTGGGAATTTATCAGAAAAGGATAAAATCCATTGATCTTTAAACAATTTTCCATTTTTTACATATTTTAAAATTGTATCTTTAGAAACATTAAATTCTATAGCAGCTTTTCTTGATGAACTAAAACTATTAACAAGTGTACCTTCAGAATTATAAACATAAATAGAAGTTCCCAAAGCTTTACTAATTTTTGCTTTACTGATTGGTGTATGAACACGTTCTTTACCAAACATAGGATTGTTTTCACCTATTTTACCTTCACTCAATTTTGCTAGAGTTTCAGCTGAATGGATAAAACCTATATGGGCTTTACTCATTCTAGTTTTTGTCTCCTCTGAAATTATTTTTCGCGCTTCCTAAATTAGCTTCACTCATTAATACTAAGGATTTTTCAGAGTGTTTATAACCTAATAAAGAACCTGCTACTTGTAGTATATTGAATTCAGGTTTAAGTTCATTGAGATAAAATTGTTCTCTAGATATTAGTTCCTCTGTTTCACAATATTCAAAAACTACGAAAATAAAATTTTGTAATTCATGTATATTAATTGCTCTTTGGAGTAAAATATTTGACCGAGTTCCGCTAATATGATTAATAAAACGAGTTGATAAAGTTTTTGAAGAACCTATATATAATTTATTATTAGTTTTACAAATAAACCCATAAACACCTGATTTATTCTTTAATTCCTTTCTAATAATATCTTGTATCTCTGCTAAATGTAAATAACCTATCGATAGCTCAATGGTTGAAAAAAAAAGTTGTAGTCGTGTCATTGTGTTTTTTAGTTTTTTAAAATGTTAGCAAGCGCAATTACCAAACTTTTTTAAGTTAACTATACCCGCAATGGTGCTCACATGACACCCAGGGTTTCCATCCCCGTGCGGTAAACTATAATTTTTTTTTAACCTTAAAGAAAATTCCCGATATTACTCGGATAGGATACAGGTATTAGATACTATAGATTAGATTCCGTAAATAAATTAAAAACTATAGATTAGATTCCATAAATAAATTCATTTTTCATTAGTTGACCCCTTGTCTAAATATAACTCTTACGTTAGAATTTTCGGAGAATCTCCTCATGTGAACATCACTAGGATATTTCCTACTAATACTTGACGTAAGTAGTCATCAAGTTACGTACTAGACAATATCCATTTATCTTTATATAATTTATTTTTATCTA